GGCCCTCTTTCTTTGGGAGCACATTTCTTCTGGCTGAAGGAGGGAGGAAGGACTGCACTTCAGGCACATCCAGAGATGAATACAGTACCCCTCTCTTTGGGACAGGAACAGTTCCAAGTCCCATAATTCCTAGGATGAAGGCCTTGCAATAACATACCCAGGTGACAAAAGAAATCCTATTTGGGTTATGAAGCTCAGTTTAACTATCTAGCAGAGAAGCCAGGGACTGACATGCAAAAGAGAAAACAGAGTTGCTTTCATCCTTAACGGTGGCCCCTACAGGTGAAGTTTGAGGCTAGCTGGCAGGGCACTTTTGTAGGGATGCCCACACCTACTTTGTGGATAAAATAAGAGAACTTCAGTTCCCACGGTTGCTAAAGCAGCCACTTGTGATAACACTGGAATTCCATTACAGAGCTGTGACCCAGATCCTCCAAACTTAGTAGGGTCGAGCAGTAACACCACTGAAGCCAACAGAGGTATCCTGGATGGAAGAGAATCATGCCCCTTGAGCCCATACCAGCAGATGGACAGCATGGCATTGCCCACTGCTGAGGAAAAGGGGAAGAGGGAGAGAACTAAACTGATTTTTATCCATAGGCAAAGAGACCTACAAAGGGATCCAACCTCAGCCCGGCTGCCAGGTGAGGATCTATTGCACTGATCACTTTGGAAACTCTCTTTGGGATAAAATTAAATGTCCTTAATTGAATTCTCTCAGAGGAAGAAACAGAACATTTTACAATCAGCTGTCAAACGGTCTGCAGCTAAGATATCAACAATGTACGACAGAAGCATGGCATAAAAAGCCTCTGAGGTTTCCTTTTATTGACTGGAAATTCTGTGTTTCATGTCCTATTATCTTTCAAACTAACCAGCTACAAGCTATACAATAAGGGAATTGAATATGATCATTGGCAAAGAGCATCCGCTTGCTAAATAAAAGATAGTGATGGATACCTGAAAAGACCTGTGGCCCCCCCCAAAAAGGTGGGGGGGAAGGATGGGATTTAACCAAGCAGAATGCCTGATGTCAGATCTCATAACCCACTTGGCTAGAGGTGAGTGAGATCCAAACGCGCTGCATTGCTAAATGAATTATCTTGCTATAATCTAATGCTGGGGTCACATGAAGTCAGACTTCTGATTTAGAATCACATACTTGAGGATCACAGGCTACAAAAATTATTGCTGCGCCGGCAGGAATAAATTATGCAAAGCAACGAGTTATCTGGAAGCTTGCACTGCGCACACACCTCGGTGATCTATCGCTCTCAGTGCAGATGTTCCGCCGCAAAGACAGTTTAATTAATACATTGAAAATACATTTCCTGCCTTGTCTGAGATGGAGATGAGCAGGGAAATGACACTGAGTTTAAAAAAAAGAAAAAAAAAAGCCTCCCCCTCCCAAAATCTAGGGAAAAGTGGTGGCGTCCAGCTAGTCTAAATCCAGTGGTATCTCAATGGGAGGAACAGCACTTGCATTGTACTATGTGCAGTGGTTAGAACTAGCAGGGGCTGGTGAGGGAAGGTGGCTCAGCTCTCCCACTGATAGGACAAAACCCATACATCTAGGAAGGGTTTATCTCATTTCCTCTAGCCACAACCTGCAAGATGCCATGGCCCTCAGCCCTGGAGGCAGGCACATGTAGATGGAAGAAAGAAGAGCTTAAACATTTCCTTAGGGTCAAGATGCTCTCAAAGTGCAGGGTGTTTGGATCCAGAGGTTTCATCTCGGCCCATTTCACTTTTGGGGGAACAGCTTGATCTCTGGGCCATACTGTCAGCAAAGCTATGAAAATCTGCACTAGTGGAACAAGTTTCCTATGTCCTAACACTCTGCTTCTTGCAGAGATGCTGGGAACAGTTTTGGGCTCCATGAATTGCCACTTACAGCAGAAACCCAAACCTGAATCTCACAGATTTATTTGGGGAAGGATCTTCTGGAAGTTCTGATTCAATGGGAAGCCCAGTACATGCCATCTTCTTGGCCGACATCTGGAAAAATAAAATTATTTTCTTCCGAGAGAGTTAATTTGCGAAAACAATCATCCAGCTTCAAAGCAAATGCGAAGGAATGGGACATTCGACTTAATTAAGAGAAGGTTTTCTTTCGTTCCGTCTTTCTTTTCTTTTTTTTTTTTTTTTTTTAACAGAATAGCTAAAACTTCTGCTTACATGTGAGAGCCTCCCATATGGACCAATCAAAGACTGTAGAGGCAGTAATTAATAAAAATGGGTAATGATCGACCATCTGTCCGCAGTGTTTGTTCTCTAGAGCAGGACCATGTCTGAGTCCTCATTAGGTATGCATCCTCCAAGCCTCTACAGATGTTAGAGGTGGTGCAGCCCATTGGGTCAGGAAGAGAAAGATGAAATTACCCCAGCAGAAGGTGGTTTAATAGCCCGACGGAGGCGGGGAAGGAGATGGCAAGAGGGGTCATAGACCAAAATACTGGTGTTAATTAGAGTTTACAGTAATAATACTCAGGTCAGCTTAATCAGTTATTTGGAAAGGGAAGAACAGCGGGAGGAGGGAGATGGAAGACAGGAGTGATAAAGAGACAGCAGACAGACTCCCACAGGATTACAGAGAGCTGCTGATGACAAACTCCAGCCAGACTCTTCTCTTGCTCACTGCCAATTTAAATGGCAGCAGCCCCCCTGCAGTCAAAGTAGTCACCTTGGTGTGCGCACGTGGAAAATCATCTGGAGACTCCCTTCTCCTCACTAAGCTGCTCTATGCCTCTTAGAAGGAATCTGTCTCTTCTCACCTCCTCTAGAGGAGGCAGAAAAAGGTCCCGCTTTCCAGCCAGCAATGCAGATCCCTTTTGTTCTTGATCTCAAAGCCCGGCAGAAATGCTTTGTGCAGGCGAAGGATTCTGGGTTTGGCAGGGGCTTTTTAAAGCTAAGCTTCCCTTGACCAGAGGAAAGGGCAGAAGACTGATTGAATGCAATAGCTCTTCAGCTAGAGAAAACAAAAGGCAAGTCAGTTTGTGGCCTGTCCGTCTCAGGCACATCTATCTCTGCAGCGTCTGGGCACCTAGTTCAAAACTGAGACTCCTCTCCTGTTGTGTCCCTGCAAGGCTCAGTTACTCACCACTCCTCCCTCCGCGGCATCAGTGAGGTGAGTTTGACAGGCCTTTCTCAGTTCAATCCAAAAAGGACAATTGTTACAACAGAAAACAAACAAGTATTTGGTCCAATTTTGCATGACCGGGAATTTGGACAGAGAGACATGCCCAGGCCATCATGTGGAAGTAGGACTCACTGATGAAACCAAGGGAGACGTTCTGGTGAGTCAAATAGCACAGGATACGGTAGGTTGGAGCTGCATGGACCACAGCAAGAAGTGCTGCTGCTGGCTAGGGGTGAACTGCACCCTCAGAGCTGTGTGATGAGAGGTAATATGGAAAGGAAGAAACACCAGCAGAGTTTGACCCTCCTTGTCTTCCCTGGCGAGGCATTCGCTTCCAGGCACCGACTCTCTGCCTACAGCCAGAAGACCTGTGAATAGCTCGCTGGCACCAAACTGTGAAGGGAAGCCTATCTGATTTGACAGCAAGAGAGCAGGCTCCCTCTGCTGATATGCTCTGGACAACATCAGGCGGTGGACCTAGGGGATGTTGGGTTGCAGACAGTGAAACAACGAGCGGACAAGAAAAGTCCCTCTCCGCTGACCCCTTCTCCGCCATCAGGAATCCCTAGTGACCAAGAAGCAGTGCTGAAATCAGGGGAGCCCCTTGTCTCCATCTCTCATTTCTACTTTGGGGCAGGAAGCAAAAAAAAATTTTTTTTAATGAAGTGTTTTGAGAATCTTTTTGGCTCAGTAGTCCAAAAAACCTTGATGGGTTTCCCTTTGTGAGAGCCCAAGCCCAATTTAGCAGCCTCCTGATGTGATCATAACCCAGTGAGGAACATTGTGAAAAATCAGTAGTTACGCACTTACCAGCTTTCTGCTGTGAATTCCCGAGAGAGCTCCCATCTCCCACCCTACAGAAGCCCCCCTCCAATTACATGGGCTGAGCAACCTTGGCACTGCTACGTATGGAGAACGATTTCACACGGTTGTGCTTGATGATGTCAGTGACTAACCCAAGATGAATTTCAAGAGTCCAGATTGGAGTGAGTTGGCAAGCGTATGGACAGAGTCCAATTAACGCGGGAACAAGACAGCAAGAAAATGTCATGTGGTGCTCCCAACCCTGGGGCTGATGTTCAAGAAGCAGTCAGCGGGGGATTTGGATGGCGTCCATCCTGATTAAGGAAATGATGACTCATGCAACATCTTCCACAAAGCACTTACCAGAGAATACTTGAATTGCACGATCCAACAGCACTGTCCCAGGCCAATGGCTGCCTGCTTGATGGGGCTGGCTGGGAGTGGCTGTGAAGGAAGGAATTCCCTAACATTTCTTTTTTGATTAGGAATTTGTTTTAGGGAATGCACATTCCAGTTTAATAAGGACAAGATTTCCAATCACAACAAGCAAGCAGCACTCCCTGAGGATAGCCTGTAGCCTAGTCATTAGGGCACTCACCTAGGAGGTGGCCAACCAAGGATCAAGTCCATGCTCCACTTGATTTAGAGCAAGGCATTGAATCACTCTTCTGTATCCCAAGTGATAGCCTGGGCCACAAGCCTATTGCCTGGGTTGGGTCAGGCCTCTCTCAGCCCTCCTCACTGGAGCAGTTCCACTTTGTATCACTGAACAAACTCACGTGGGACATGAGACATCTCAGTTCAAGCCCTGGAATGAAACAAGAAGAAGAAAATCTTGAGTCTCATTTTCCAACGTCCCAAATAAGTGGCATTAACCCCTGGGCTATTGGCTTGTCTAGAGTGGGCAAGTCCATTCCACCCCCCGCCCCTTCATAATTTTTAAATGTAAATGTCTTTGTCTCGTCCTCCTATGGAACAGGATTTGTTTTTTTTTAAAGAAATAAGCTTCCCCTACCTGCTCTAGCTGTGATCTCCCTGGGAGCTAGCTGAGGTTGGGGACAGCCATGACCTGATTGCAGCACCAGTTGGCACCCGCCAGGCTGTGATGGACGTTGATGTCCTTTTGGCTCCAGGAGACACTTGCATGGTCAGTGTGGTGTGGGCGAGAGCAGGAGTGATTTGGAAGACAGTATTCAGAGCATAAGAGGCCACCACTAGTCTGTGACTTGAAGTCCATTACTGAGCTGAGTGGGTCCTAATCTGTCCCCAGAAGGAGTCATGCTGGAATACTGCTGTTACCTGCAACTTCTTTGGAGGAAAAGAAGAGAACAATGAGTTACGGGGCCTAGTTAGTGCTTCGAGTCCAAGCTCTCTACAGGAAGGGAAACCTGTAGTGTTGGAGGCTGAGATGCCACAACCTGTAGTTAAATGGTTAATATTCAGCTGGGGTTCATCTACAGACCCTTCACTGCTGATAGCTGGTTACCACAGAGGTTCCTTTCCTCAAATCTTACCATGTGAGATTTGGCTATGAAAAACTAGTTCCTATATCAAGCCCAGGCTTGGATTTCCACTTGTGAATACACACCTCTGTCTATTTAATACAGGGGATGAAGACATCTCTGCGAAGGAAAGTCACGTTCCAAGAGAAGCATAATAAGATGAAATGAGACAAGCTGCCACCTTGTCTTAAAGTCCTGAACAAGATGATATATACTCAGGTATCCATGAGGAATGCAGGACAACTTGCCTCTCTTATCACAAAATGCTGTACTGAAGTATAATGCACACCAGCAAATGAACCAAACCATCTAGATCTCCACCTCCAAACAGGAGCCCTGCTGCGTGGCCCTGGGGGAAGCATAACTCGAATCCATGTAACCTGCCAAGATATCACTTCCAAATTATACTAGAAGAGCTTGAGAGCAAGTTGCATTCTCCGCTGTCCTAGCAATTAGCATGTTCATCATCCTACCACCTTTAATAATGGAGCATAATGGTATTGTCTATATGGCGCCTTTCTTCTCAAAGGATTCCAACGATGATTTACAACCGTGTACTGACAGAGCCATTGTCACGGAGCCACCTCTGGGAGGATGGCTGTGAATCAGCAAACAGTGCAGACTTCACCACCGGCAGGGGTGTGTGGAGGGGAGGAAACTGGATAGACGAAACATTGTTCTAGGATTTATCTTCACACAAAGCACAGAGGACTTTGGGTGTGTTTAGTCTTCTCCAAAAGGCTTGCACATGGCTGACTAAGCTCCATTCGGTTGCTGCTAACCATGGGGAATTTAGAAAGATTCAGGGGTTAGCTGACCCAAGTAGGGTCTGAATCTTGGGCTCCAGAGAATGGGCCTTTCTGGCTTGAAGCAGAAATCCTGAAGTTCCTCAGAAAGCACAACCTAAATTCACCTCCAGGCCCAGTGGGTATCACCTTTGCCCCCACAATGACACCTGAAGATGCATTTTTCCAGCCCAGCAACCTGAGCCTGGCAGAAAGTAGCTCGTGTTATGGAGCTCTGGGGTTTTTCCTCTACTCTCTGTTCAAAAACCTGCCTTACCTTTCAACGTTAGATCCTGTGTGTCGGAAAAGCTATGGTAGAGGGAGAGAGAGACGATAAAAAATAGAGATACAGCTGGGAGGGAGGAGAGGATGAGTGGGGAGGGCTGAAACAGGCAGCGGTAAAGATTTACCCTTGGAGAATAAAGGACAGGGAAGATAGCGAAAGGCCAGAAATTCATTTCACCCGTGGCTGTCCCCAGCTACAAGCACATTGGACTAGGCCAAGGCGGGTGCGTGTGGCTGTACGAGCACGAGCAAGATGTATACCTCTCCTGGGATCTTTTTCATCGCAAAAGCTGCAGTCTAGATCCTGGCTGCTGATAGCGGTGGCAGCAGGATGAAATGAAATGAAAGCCCCTCCGCCGGTTGGGGAAACGTCTGTGATTCTCGCTGAAATTGACTCCACGAGGCTCAGGTGTTTGCATCCGTTCTCCGGCTCCCGGCTCAAAAAGAAGATTAATCAGAGTAAAGATCTCTGCATTTTCAGTGATGAAAAGCAGAGTCTCATTATAGTGTTTAGACACAAGATTGATCAGCCTTCTCCTGGAATAATTGACGGCACAATAGTCAGGGGACTGGGAGGCTGGGGGAGGGAAGGGATTTGCAGCCTGTAGAAAAGGGAATTCATTCCACCACCACCACCACCCCAGAAAGAGCAGAGAAAAATGAATCGGGAGGCCTTGAAGTGATCTTCAGACTCCTCCTGGTGTTACAGATGCCAGGGAGGCTCGTGAGAATACAACAGAAGAAGAGAAAGCCACCGTTTCAATTCAGGTTTCCACCCAAAGGTCTTGGGTCTCAGCCCCACAGGCACTTAGGGCCTATCTTCACGGCAGAGTTTGCAGTAGTTCGGACTCAGGGTTTGCCTCCACTGCTTCCATACACAAAGCCTGTCATCTTGCCTAGTAGTCTGTCGGACCCAGGCCTGCCTGGGATTCAGGGTTCGACCTCAGGTTCTGCGTCGTTCACTCAGGCTTGTCATGTCGCAGCACGGCAGTGGGGATACACAGGCTAAATTACACAAGAGCTTAGTCCTCTGATGCCTTCCCACAATTCCCTCCTGATGTCCAGGACAGCAGAAAAGTTCTCCAACACTGGGAAAGAGCAATGGAGGGTCTCAGCTTATTGCAGCACAAAGGACCATGCCACAGAGCCCCAGAGGTGTGAGATGCACACGGCAGGGCGGGGAAACACAGCACCAAGGTATGACTTTGGTGCTGCTAACCAAAGTTCAGAAAAGTCAAGCGTTCGGGCCCAGGTGCCAGTCCTCTGAGCTAACCTTTCAGGGAAAGCCCACCCTCAAATACATGCAATACTCGCTGTACTCGTACAACTAGGTTCATGGAAACCGGCGGTGTCTACTTGGATGAGTAATGCTTCTTCAGAACCAACGGGGTGGGGGGGGAAGATTGTTTCATAGATTTCATAGACATCAGGGCTGGAAGGGACCTCGGAAGATCATCGAGTCCAGCCCCCCGCCCAAAGGGCAGGAAGTCAGCTGGGGTCATAGGATCCCAGCAAGATAAGCATCCAGTTTCATCTTGAAGGTGTTCAATGAAGGCACTTGAACCACCTCCGGTGGCAGGTTGTTCCAGACCTTGGGGGCTCGGACAGTAAAGAAATTCTTCCTTATGTCCAGCCTGAAACGATCTTGAAGTAGTTTGTGACCATTCGACCTCGTCATCCCTTGGGGTGCTCTGGTGAACAAACGTTCCCCCAGATGCTGGTGGTCACCCCTGATAAACTTGTAGGTGGCCATCAGATCACCCCTGAGCCTGCGCTTTTCCAGGCTAAAGAGCCCCAGGGCTCTCAGCCTGTCATCGTAGGGTCTGCTTCCCTGACCTCTGATCATGCGCGTGGCTCTTCTCTGGACTCTCTCAAGCTTCTCCACATCCTTTTTGAATTGTGGAGCCCAAAACTGGACACAGTACTCCAGCTGCGGCCTCACTAAGGCCGAGTACAGGGGGAGAATGACGTCCCGGGATTTGCTTGAGAAGCATCTATGGATGAAAGC